GAATATGTATTAACTACAACTTCCGGTTCATAACTCAACTGTGCTTCTGATGCTGTTGGTTTCAAGATTGAAGAAACTTCGTTGTCAGTCAGATATGTAGGTAGACAAACGTAACAATGTAACAGTAGAAACTGTAAAAGAATCACAGAAAAAAATAAGTTACTGACATCAGTACTGTTAAAAGATAACCAGTGACATTCCTTTTGGCAAGTGTTACCTTATAGTGATGATAGCAGCTGAAAGCAGGGAGAGTGATCCTGTGTGATGATGGTGACTTTCTTTCTATGTGTTTGTTTAGGTGTGTACATCAGATAATGGTCATTGGTGTAATCAGGTTATTTTACTGGCCTGATTGGTGATGCAGTAGAATTCAATAAATGACCTGTAAACCACGATTAGAACCAAGAAAATAATTAACAAATTTAGAACAACCAAACTTAGTTGTAAATGGGGAAGGCAATTCTTGACCTTGACGACAGTAGTTTGACTGAAAAAGATGGCATTTACTTTACTGCACTCAAGTTGGTAGAAAAAGGCCAATAAAAATAACCAACTACTCATTTAACAACACAGCAGCATTTTGGATTTGCTGCTATACAACTGGATGTTACTAACATGTATAAATGTTTCATGCCCTATTAGAGCATGACATTGCTGTTAATAAGAAAAACATGTGGATTGAAGAAAAAACACTGAAGCATATTCCCTTTAAACTTCAGTGGGGGTATTGAAGTTTAAAGGGAATATGTTTCAGTGTTTTTTCTTCAATTAACATTTTTCTTATTAACAGCAAATCCCATGAAAAAGAAAATATTTATTTTTGTAGCAGCTGCTGTAATAGTTATGAAGATTTCTGGTATAGATATAATCGCTCTGCTTTGTCGCGTCCAGAATATTATAACTGAGCCACACCAGTCTGCTGGTTGATGTGTTCCTTCGTCACCGCAAACGCAGCTGTATTATTTCATTTTGAGTTAATCCAGCATTTGCCTACTACTACCCACTGTTGTAAATACTCATTTATGCAACTCACAAAGCTGAAAATTGCCCCTAAAAACAAAAGGAGAAAAACAAGGAAAAACTGAAGTGCCAAGCTAGAAATTCGTTCTATTTTAAAATTGAAACTATATTTTTGTGATAACTTTCTAAAGATTTATGCTTGGAAATAATTGAAGCATTGGTTTTGTCTTGTCCTTGGAATTATAAAAGTGTAGAACATTATCTTTGAACTGCATCTTCACTGTGTACCCCTCAACCACACTGGATATTCTTAGGAAAGGATAAAGAAGTAAACTGTATATATGCCACTGACATCCATAGTTGTCTGTTTGCTCCTGCTCTCCTGGGTGTTCAGATTTATCAGGTGGAGTTCTTTCTTCGCTTTCTGCCTCTTTCAAGATTTATTGCAGTCGAGCCCTTCACCCAGGATGACCTCAACGCACCAGGCTTTTCTCAATTGAGTAGACTCCTCACTTTTCTGTGTCTTTGTAGTATTTTTCCCCACTGGGATTACTGTACCATCAACCCCAAGAGACCCAGTACAGGAACCCTCAAACACAACACTGACAACAGCTAAGAAAGACTTTCCATCAAGTACAAGTAACTCAGAGTTCCATCAGCAACAGGGCAACAGGCTGACTCGACCCATCTGATTGAGTCAGAGTGTGTAATGCTTATAGGTTTGCATTGCCTTGCCTCAAAAGTTGTGCAAGCACAGTGTGTAATAACCTTGTAACTTTTGTGCGCTGTCACAGTTGCAAACATTTTATTAAGCTTTTTCTGCACAGCCCTCTGTAACGTCTGCGTTCACACTGAGCCGAGTCAGGAAACTGTAGGCGGATTTGTCCACTTACAGTTTAAATAGAGTTAATTTATGTAAGATTACAATCCCCAGCAATGTTTACAGCTAGAATTGCTTTGCGAAATTCAGCTATTCACAGGAAGTAAAGAGAGGAAAAGAGAATGTGGAGCTCAATGCTGTAGCCTTGTGGGGAATCATGACCTCCATCTCAAACTGCATATCAAACAACAGCTGCTCGGGCAGAAATTCTGCCTGATTCTAAAATTATTCAGGTCTAAATCAGGTTTCATTTGTACACTATCTGCCTGCCTGGATTATTGTACAGTATTAAAACTAAGACAGTGACCAAAACTTTTGGTTCCACTGATACGCAGCAGAGAAGTGAATGTTTTATATATAATATGTAACAATGGTATTGTATGATATTATTATTTATATTTATGTAACAGGGTCAGTGATGCAACAGTGGTTGTGGGTCAAATATATATGCCTCATTGTATTTGGAATACATAATATACCATATATATTTTTTATTTTATTGTTATTATATGTATTGTTATAATTCCATAAAGTTTGATCTGCCTCTCAGTTGTGTGGAACCTTTGCTGGGGGGCCCCGGTACCCCTACTTTTAGCCCCCCACCCCATCCTATAACTGAGCTTTTCCCGCCTAACCTCTCCACGTTTGTTCATGTGTTCTGTACGAGAGGTAAGCGAGATTGTGCTGTTGTAATTTGTGTGTTTTAATGTAATATAATTATACTTGTGGCTTCACTTTCCCGGTCTAATATATTTATGTGTTGTTTGGTTTCTGCAGGGGTACAGATTTTGTGAGCTGACAGATGATTTTGTATGTTTTTTTTTATGGGCTGCCAACGTATGTGTTCCGTCTTGTTCTGTACATCTACTGTAAATGCATTGAATGCCTCCCGCCTTACGCGGCTCGCCCTTTTGTTCATGTGTTCAGTTCGAGAGGGGGACAGACTTTGTGAGTTGGCGGAAGATTTTGTAGTTTTCTTTTATCGGCAGTCAAGCTTTCAAGGCCTGTAATAAACGGAGATTGCCTGGAAAAGAAAGTCTAAGTCTGGGCTTTGAATACGCAACGCAGAGAACTGAATTCACTGGTTACATTTACAGCTGCCATTTTCTGTGTTCCAGCAGAGCAGTGCATCAGAAGTAGGCCTCAGTCCTTGCTATTATCTGTGGTTCTTTTGTTGATTGCTGTGGCAGCACTCAACTGTGAGAGGATTCTGTGAGTAGCCATGACATTTCTCTTGTACAGCAGCATAATTACTTTTAGTTATTTTTTCAGATGTTTCCTTTTTAGATGACTTCCTTTGAGATGAACTCAGTGTTTTCACAGAAAAGTTAAAGAACAAATAAATAAAAATCTAAATAGGAAGGGCAGATGACTAAATGCCTTTCTTTTGACGTAATTTGTGCTTTATTTGTGTTACTGCGTCTGTAGTGAGAGCTAGAATGACACTTGTCTAAGTGAAGGATGTCGTGTTTACTTTACAATGGCAAATTCCAATTGGATTTTTGAAGTACATGTAACAATAGGTTGTCTGCTGTGATATCTGACTACAACTGAAAATAATGTGGCTGCTTGACACTCATCTGAAAAAAACAAGTAGTATGACATTAAATAACAAGTGAGGAATGTCAAACTGCAGCTGAGATTGCATTTATTGAGTTTGTGGGGGGAATCTTTTCCTACTTGGTTGCATTAGCACATTGGCGTGACAGTACTGCTGGTTTTCAAGTGAACAATTAACCTAATGAAATAGTCATTTAATCGGTGAGGGGAAATGACAGTGAAGCTAATGCAGGTTCAGTTTCAGTAAACACTGTGGGAATTATGTTTGTTTTTGTTTTTATCATCATCCGTTCATTCATCCCTGCAGCTCACTTTCATGAGTCACCAGAACCAGGAACTCTGTTGGTGATTTTTTAATTCCCCCTAAAAGATTACTCACTGTTTTACTATTAAACATTGTGCAGCGTTGTGTGATCCCTCGAGGGTAAAACACTTCCTGTACGTTCGTTGTTTGATTGTTAATGCAGTGCATGGTGACTTTTAGATTCCTTCACAAACCGTAGTAAAAAAAAGGAGAAAACCTTTCTGAAATATGCGTAGTGGAAACTGTCTCAGAGGAAAGGCTATTATTTTAGTCTTCAGAGGGAGTAGTTACGGAATTATGGACTTCTGTAAAGATGTGCCGTTGTATCTGGAGAGAATATGTCAGAATTAAACTTGATTGATGTCTTTTATGTCAGGCCCATGTCGAGACTTTTCTCTGAGGCGGTGATAAGGGTTTGCTGGATTGGCGAGAATGTGAGACCTTTATTAACACTTCTCTTTATGTTGCTTTAAGGCAACAGAGATGATGCTTATTCCAAGCACGCTGTGTGGCGCTGCTTTGATTTTAAAGTCATACATTTTCATCTTATCACTTCACAGCTGTTTGGAATAAATGAGCAGTGAGAGAACTGAGTAATCAGTATAAGCAGATGCACAGACGGTCACTTGCAAAGGAATTATGGAACAATGGCACTCGCTATCGTTGATGCACAGCTTCTGAAACCATCCCCAGCCCTCACTGCAGAGCCACAATGACAGCAGCTCCATTCATGTTGCTGTTATCAATATGTTTGGCTACAAGAGCAGCACGGTTAAAGAGATTACAGTGTTGATCGGTTGGTACACCAACCTAGATCCGGACTGAACAACTGGTTGGTCAACCTTGAAAATATGTACAGACATGCATGGTGTCCGGAGGATGAAGAGCACTGATGCTGATCATCCTGTGACTTTCCACCTAGCACCACCTCAAGGTTGACATTTTTGGCTTTTTGTGAAACATCTTGGAAAATATCGGGTTGATTGTCCTAATATCTGAGCACAACTATCGGGATGTAAGGCCTCACAGAGTAGATAGCATTGATGTAAACTGGTTTTGTTTCTGTAGTTTTGTTGATGTTGTTGTGTGTATATATATAAATATGCTTTTAATGGGTTTTTTTTGTTTTGTTTTTTTTAATCTGTACTGGAATAATAATACAGTTGGAGCTGTTCATTCCTCGCCAGTTATTTGCCTTTTGTTTTAATCAATGACTATGACTGCATTTAGGTAATATATAAATAAATAAAATGGTACGTGTATAAAAATGTCGAACATCACACACAAAAACATCACGTTCAACACAAAATAGCACAGCCAAAGTTGTCAAATGAATTGCCTGCAGAGGATCCAAGTGTTTGAAATGCAGCAACAGCTACTTTCTTTGTCTCCAAGAGGCAATAGCATGTCTACATCTGCTGCTATTCATTTTCTTGTGTTGCTGTGCCAGGTTGGCCAGCTTTCAGCAGGTGAAAAATTATCCGAACAGCTCCCCCTTGCTGAGAATTTGAAAGCTAAATGTATATGTTTTTGTTCACTGCAAGCCATTCATTCTGAAAGCATCAACTGTAGCATTTCTAAAGAAGAAAATTGCTCAAATTGTGTAATATTCTATAAACCCGATTGCTACTGTTTATTCATATCCACTGGGAAACTTCATCATGCAGGGCTAGTGTCTGTATTTATATGCAGCTGTGACAGGTTTACCACAAGAAATTATTTTAATTAGTCGAAATCATTGGTTGAGTATTTTATCGTGGCTACTGGCTGTAACAGGTATATTGTACATCTACATGTTTGACATGTTTCACAATGTTTATCTCCAACTTTATTGTGTTAATAACCATGTACCAGCTTTAAATCCACTGTCATATTACTTGTGGCTCTAAATCAACTCACAGTGTGGTCATGGTGTAACAGCGCAGTAAAAAAAAATCCTAGCTTGCATTTGTTCTTTTGACTTTGTGCTTTTTGTTTACAAATTAATTTTTGTTCCTGAATGAGGAGGTCTGGGGAGCAAGTTCTATGACAAGAAAAACCAAAGAATTTGCATTTGGAAGCTTTAATACATCAGAAATCAGGTAATCACATGCATTTGCTTTTATTAACAGTTTCAGAATGGAAACAGAATCAGACACAACAAAATTCCGGTCAGAAGTCTCGGCTTTCAGCAAAAGAAAAGAAAAATGGCATAAGTAGCACAGTAACTATCAACTTGTAGATTAGATTCTGTTCAATCAGCCACTGGGTAGTACGACAGAAGAACTACAGAAGGTGACTCAGCCACAATTTATGTCCTCTTTTCAAGCGTGAACAGGCACATGAGAATACATTTCATACTGATCATAACACATGCCAAGTGCTTGCAGCAAATACTTTTTTTTGCCAAGGTTACTCTCTAAGTTTCAGAACTTTTTTTTTTTTTAGGCTACAAGGAGCGATGAGAAGCCAATTATTTGTTTTGTATTTTGTCTTCAGTCTGTCATGTTTTTGTTTTTGTGTGTATATTACCTCTGTTAAACAAAAAATACTTTGGGGGAATATTGAATGTAATATGAGATAGCTCCAGTGTGTTCAACGAAGAATGTGTAAAGATTTTGTGAGGAGGTTTCAGCTGCACGGGAAAATCATTTTAAATCATCCTGTGTAAACTCTCCAGCTGGTCTGGGGGTTTAAACGGCCTCACCTCACCAACCCCTTTTATCACATTTTTGAACGCTCTGACCTTTAAGGTAAAGACATTTGTACAATGATCAATATGATGCCCTCAGTACACTCAATCGTGAACTTTTTGTGCATTCTGTGAAGTACAGATTCTTGTGAAATCGACTTTTTTCAGACATGTAAATGTATGGATGTACGATAAACATGACACAGGAGAATAAATTATTTGTCATAACAATGATTTGTGAAGACACTGGATGTGCCAGTGTGTTTGAATTTGCATCCCCATTCTTGCTGAAAAGACAGAGGAGTCAGCAGTTGCCTGTGATCTAATCATAACGTCTACAGGGTTACATTTGTTGTTGTATTGACTGTGTCTTACAATAAAATTACTTGTGCAGATTTGTGTTTGTTTATTTTGTTTTATTATTTTTTTTAATGACATGCAGACACTGTATGTCTCAAATCTGCAAGTTCACTTATTTATATTTGGCCTGTATGGGTTATTCATCTTAGGCCATGCTTTGGACTTTGAGATGAAAACAAACAATTTATACAGTAGGTCCTTTGGGTCTCGGGTCCTTCACTCTTTGTACAGTGATACTAATGTGTACAATACATTATTATTGCATTCATATACAGCAATTTGTATCCTCAGTGATAGATTTAAATGCCATAATGTGCAGTGACCGAAAACACAGTTGAATAAAAAACGAGAGCTTGCCTATGAAGTCTTTAGTGAATGCAACTCTGTCAGAACAGTCATGATTAAAGTACAACATATTTAAAGATGGTATTTGCACAA